GGGGGGGGAGGCTGGTCTTGCCTAGAGTGCAAAATAGTCTAGCACCAGCACTGTCCATAATATATGCAAAAATTAAAATCCAACAGAGATAGTGGAAACTCCTCATAATAGCCACAGTGGGAATGCAGATCTTGGAACTTAGTGTGGAGATCTCACCAATAAAGTCCCTGAGAGATAGAAGAAAGTACCATGTGGTTGAACCATCTAACATCTAACAAATACTGAAATGTTAGTTTTGAATGGGCTTGCTCTTTGATTCCATATTTTTTATTTTTACAAATTTCATTTTTTATATCCACACATTGCTAAACCTCTCCAGTCCCCACCACTCCCTACAATGCGGCTACCAAGTTTGAATGCACCAGAATGCATGTAAGCCTTATTTTAAAACGGGTTTTTAAGAAAACGAAATTGTGTTTCCTCCTTTGCAGCCGAATGTTGGATAACGCCTACTTTATATGTGTTACATGTCTCCATTCGCATTGCATAACCTAAAATGTTTTCAATCTTTCCAGTGTCCCTAAATAATCACATTGCAAGTTATTCTGGACCATACAAGCTGTCTATAGAGCCCTGTGTATAAATCTGCTCCAAGGAAACAACTAGAAATGTTAGAAAAAAAATTCTGGGAAGTTTTTAGTTATGCTGCGTGGATGGGAACACATATAATAAACACGTAGTGGGAGCAGGGGGCATCGTTATAATGAGGCAGCCTTAGCCAGTTGCCTCAGGCAGCATCTCATTGGGGGGCAGTCGAGTGGTGTGGGGTCGGCCACAGCGTCCCAGGTTGCTAAGAGCTCCTAGCAACCGGTGACGCTCTCTCTGGCATTCTGCCCAGCTCACGATCATCGCTGGTTGCCAAGAGCTAAGTAGGGGCGCCTCAGCTATGGCTTGTGCCCTGCCGAGCTCCTGGCAACCAGTGACATCAGTAAACTGGACAGTATGCCAAACAAAGGTGCTGAAAGCTCACCACCCCTGAACCCACAACCCCCCTACCCAAATCCCGGGAACTGCATTGCCTCAGGCTGCAAAAACCATAGGGACAGCCCTGAGTGAGAGTTTTCCAAATATGGCTGTGAAGTTGGCATTATAATGTATACGTTTCTTCTTCTATATTAAATGTAACTGATCACGTGCATTGATCTGTCTCCTTGTGTTTTCCTTCTGCCAGCATTTTACATCATATTCCAGACAGAAGACCCCAGCCAGTTAGGACATTTCTACAACTACTTAATGTCTCTCTTCAGTACCTTCGAGCTGTTCCTCAATGTCATCAACTCCCCTACCAACTATGCCGTGGACCTTCCGTATATTTTCCACGTTGTATATTTTGCCTTCACCATCATTGCCAACCTCCTGATGTTGAATCTGCTGATCGCCATGATGGGGGACACTCATTGGAGGGTGGCACAGGACAGGGATGAGCTGTGGAGGGCTCAGGTACTGTAAGCATTGATATCTGAGGATCTTTGGACATATATACATATGTGTCTTGGAAATTATTTTAAACTCTAGTTGAAGTTAGTCACCATCATAATAAAGACATTCATTTACCCGGTCTCTCATTTTATCAGGTTGCTGCCACCACAGTGATGTTGGAGCGAAAACTCCCAAGAAGCCTTTGGCCTCGATCAGGCGTTTGTGGCACAGAATATGGCTTAGGAGACCATTGGTACTTACGGTGAGTTGAATTGCTGTAGTGGGCTTTTTACATTGTATTTCTTTTTTTTAAACTATGCTTTGCAAAAATCTCCAGTATGTATTTTAAGAGAATCAATCGGGTCCTCTGAACATTCAGTTTCAGTTATGATAATTGTGCAGACTTCCATTGTTAGCAGGATGAATGGAATCTTTGGGTGCCACTCCAGATGTTAGCTGTACACATTTGCATACATTCACACATTTTTGTGTTGGTATACTTATCATTGTTCGGTCCAGCTGACATGCCCTGAGAACACACTGCAGGCTTTGTCTATGGGTGCTACAAGAAATCTCCTTTTCATATTTTTTTGAGGGAGTAGATTGTCTTCGTTTTGCTTCCCCATGCAGAAAGTGTTACCAGAAGTTGGGCACTCGCTACCCCTTGTAGAGAGTGCCACCAATACACCAGTCATTTAAAAATGATTGTGTAATAGTTATGGGTAACTAAATGCCACTAGTTTTAGAACCATACCCACAGATGTTGCACATTTAGATACAAAGACAGGTGCATTGTACAACCACCACTTGCAGATAAAGGGACCACCATAGCATAGAAGAAGGGAATTATTGTAGAATTACATTTTTTTTAAAAGCACATTTTCTTAAAAGACAAAACATTCCAACCTAATATTTTGTTACTACAGGGTTGTGGTAAGAAAGGACCTCAGTCAGCAGAAGATCCGTCGTTATGTCGAAGCATTCCAAGGACCAGAGGAAAACCATCACTTGGACAAGCACTTATCAAATGGCTTAAAGCTAGACCAAACTTTAAAGCCAGGTCTGCCTAAAGTAATGGTGACTGAAGTGGACACCCATGAACCACCAAGAACTTCACATGAGGCACTAAGGACTTCTCAGACAGCAAATGGGTTACTACATGAGGACGCAGCCAGGACACAAAGTGCTCCACATATGACTCACTTGGACATACCACGTGTATACATGGAACCATCTAGTTCAGGACTTCAGTGTTTAGGACGTGAAGTGCCAGTGGTTAGGAAGGCCAGTGGACGTGGCTGGAAAATCTTAAGGTCAGTTCCCGTAAAACGATTACAGGGGCACACTTCCCAAAACATCCAGGGTGATGATGACGAGGAGGAAATACACCATGTTTGAACCTTGCATTGGTTTGGTGTAGCTTATTAGACACTTTATGCTTAATAAATGTTCATCATTCCCTGGGGCAAGAGCCTCGCCATGAAGGAAGACCAGATCTGTCTTCTTGAAAACCTAAACTCAATGAGTTGGCTTATACTTTTAATGGAAAACAACTTGTGTTAACCTTCTGCCAGTATTGGTCATACTTTGAGTAGAGGATATAGACATTACAAACTTTTAAATATGCAAAAGATCCAGAAACTGGTCATTGCGCAAGACGCAACCTTGTTTTGTGATCTGATTTTCTATAACTGCCGTAAAAGCTATGAAGCTTTTAATGCAAATATATTGTCTTATATGTGTATGTATATGTGTAGCAGGAGTTTTTACGGTAACTTTCAACAGGAATTAACAATGTTTTATGTTATTTATCTGCTAACGGTGATAGAACTGTGACAAGTATAAGGGTATGAAACCTTGTATCACTAACTGTGAAAACCCTTACTAATGCACTGAACATTTTATAAAGAGTGTCACTTGTGCCAGCTAATGTTTCAGGTTTTTCTAAATCTCTGGTGCTCAACCGGTGGTCCGGTGGTCTTGTGTGGCCATTGGTCATTTATTGTGCGGTCCTTAGGATCGCTGAAGATGGTAGTGTGTGTTTTGCTGCTGAATACAGTAAAGGAAAATAATTATTTGGATTGTCTTGTAGTTGTTACATTGTGTGGTTAAATCTTAAAATGCATTCTTGTACCTTTTTAACTATTAACAACAATGTATCGTATTTGTGTATCACTCGGCTGTAGATCCTCCAATCATCTCTGAATTGGTGCTGACACTGTCCTTCCTTTTGGAGGGGGCTACGTTTGTTCCCCATGATCCCTGTGTGTGTTGTAAAGTAGTCAACGCTCCAAGCTTGCTCCTGTGATGGACTACAATCTGAAAAATTAATAAACTAAACATGAGATTGTAGTCCATCCCGGGGCATGGTCAGGGACAGGGTGGGTCAGCAATTTGTGGGCAGCGAAATACTAGCACTTGGGATGTAGGACACAGGGTACAGGCGCAGGGAACAGGTGAAGACTAGGGAATAGCCGAGTGTTCGATTCGAACATGAGTTCAAATTGAACATCGGCAGTTCGAGCGTTCACCGAACTTTATGGGATGTTTGCAGTTTGTTTGACCGCGGACATTCCATAAGTCAAAATGCCCTCTGAAGCTCTGATTTGTTAAAGTCTTGCACCTTACCACAGGCCAGGTGCAAGACTTTGCCCAATCAGGTCTTAGTATTGAATTAGAGCCATGATTGGGCAGTCATGATGACTCTGCCCAATCATAGCCTGCCTATCAGATGTCGGTAAACTACACAATTGGGCGGAGCTAGCTGTGACATCTTGCTCCGCCCAATTGTGTATGTTTTGCCGGCATCTGACAAAATGCCATTATGCGGCGGGAGAGGACGGGACGGCGTTTTTTTTAAAAAATTATTATTTCTCTTTATTTTTTATTGTTTTATTTTTTATTTCGTGGACAACGCTGGACGCCGTGATTGACCCTGGATTACGTTGGTGGATCCATTTTTATTTTTTTAATAAAAGACTTGTCAAAAACATGTCATTTGTTTTTTTCTTCAAATAAAGGATTTTATCAAAAGTCTGGACTTAATAACTATTTGATTTAACCCTTTAGTGAATGGGTAGCGATATAAGTACCCCTTACTCATTCACAAGGGAGGGTGGCGGCATCTGGGTGCACCCTTAATTAAAGGGGTACCCCGATGCAAATAAGCCCCCTTACCTGCAGACCCCCACAACCACCGGGTCAGGTTTGTGGGGGACGAGGCCCTTGTCCCCATTGGCACGGGGACACCCTCCCAGTGCCAAGTGCATGTGGCCTGGTGTGGGAGGGAGGGGGGAGTCCAC